CATTTCGGACCGGGGCCACTGGTCTCCCCCTTCTCTGCTACTATCTTCTTTCCATTTCTTCCTTCACCACTTCTGTCGCCATACACGCCGAGACGTGCCCCAGTCATGCACTGCAGAAGGGGTTCACCCCCACTCCGTGCTCCTCGTTTTCATTATATAATAAGTAATCATTGAGGCAAAAACTTTAGATGCCTTTTTTTATACACGAGAATTCGCCGCCCGCAGCTGCGGCGTGAACGGAAGTCACGTAAAATAACATCGTCACGTATGATGTCGCTATGTAACGTCACTTAACTTGTGACGTCATCACACGACACGGTCAAGGATAGTCCGATCATCGAGGCAGTGCGAAAACCACGTGAGTTGCCGAAGACGTTCAGTGGCTCCGATCCCGGGGGCAATGTGTAGCCGTGTTATGCGCATGAGGCTTTCGTATAGGGATGAGGGGGTGAGGAGAGTATTAGAACATCTGCCGAGAGAAAAAAAAAATGATGTCTTTCAGATTCGAGTGGCTTAGCCGAATGCATAAGGTATAAAGTTTCCCACAATCACCTGGAGAAAACTCTGGCGGTGCGATCGTTAAGTCACCATGGGAATGATGGATATAGTACTCGGATTTGCCTAATCTTCGTGCTTGAGGCTTCGAAAACACGTGTGGCATTGTTTATTGTTGTTTCGGCGGTTCTTTCGGATAAAACAATCGATCATCGGCAACTTCGTGAGCCTATTTGAATCGGCGAGCCTAAAAGGCTCGAGGTGGCGAAGTAGAATTGCTGAACACTCGCTGAACTTCGTCTTATGACAAAGCGGATGCAGGCCACACGGAGTCCAACGTTTCAGGAAATGCTGGCTGAAACGTCATGCGTTGTAGCTACCATATTCACTATAGCGCCGGAGTTTATTCCAGTAAATATTATAGGCAACGGGATGACCTGATTTGACGGTATCGATCTCAGGTCGCGGGTTCGAATCCCGGCAGCGGCGGCTGCATTTTCGATGGAGGCGGAAACGTTGTAGGCACGTGTGCTCAGATTTGGGTGCACGTTAAAAAACCCCAGGTGGTCGAAATTTCCGGAGCCCTCCACTACGGGGTCTCTCATAATCATATGGTGGTTTTGGGACGTTAAACCCCACATATCAATCAATCAAGACGCTATCGATACCTGTCGTGTGACGTCATAGACGCAGCGCCTTTAAGTACCGGAACTCCCAACACAGGCGTTATGGTGACATTGAGGCACCGTAATCGAAGCAAAGCGCCTGAACGACAGGGACACGGGAAGAACGCAACACGAGCGGTCGCGTTGTGTTTTTCCTGTGCGGCTGTCCTTCGAATGATTTCCTGTTATGACACACCGGCGAGAACGCACATCAGCATCGCAGTCACGTTGCGATTATCCACCTTCATTGCGACAAAGAGGCGGTTGGAAAGTTACAGGCTTCTCTGCGTGAATAGCGAAATAGTATGCACGCGATGTACTGGTAGCATTAATTGCATGTCAGAGACACCGCGTCTCACCGGGCAGTAACGTTGACAGAACTTTTATTCGGGGCGGGGGGGGGGGGGTGAGGGAGGAGGCACCGCCTTGATGTGAAGTGGAGGCGGCAAAGGCAGCTGTGATCGAGTGTCATTTTGTGCTTCGTATCTCAAAAAAAAGAACAATTAAATATCGGGGGGGGGGGGGGGGCATGGGCTCGATATGCTACCCCCGTGTTTACGCCACTGCACCGGGCTGGTTTCAGCAGTGACGTAGATGTAAGCCAGCTGTACGTGTATGCTCAGGCGTGTTGTGCGCTGTTGTATTTACATATTAAATAGAATGCGGTGGTACGCTACGTTAGAGCCGGTCATACGATCTTCCTGATAGCATTATTGAATAAAAACACAATGATAACAAACGTTATGAAAACTACAATAATAAGAAAGTACTCAAACAAGAAGCTCTGCGTATACAATATGTGACGTATAAAAGATGAGGCGAGTTTAAGGGCACAGCTCAGTACCTAAAGTGTGAACACATTGCGGAAAGAACGGCTGTACAGAGTGAGTGAAATAACTTTGTTAGGTCCACAGTAGACGCGAGTTAACTCAGCGTCACCTGGCTAGGCCAACTCTGGGACGGTCAGGTTAAACCTGACGCCCTCGCGCGGGCCTTCTGGACGGTCAGGATCTGAGAGGTGAGGTCCTGCCCCTTAATCAGCTTGTTCATTTCCTCTTCTTTGAAAGAGCTACCGGCAAAGGCACAGCCACACAAGGAACAATCCGGGCTTGAGAATCGTTCTTGGTATATTGTGTGCAGTAAAATTCTTATGAACTTACATATATCGTGACTATGAGATAAGTTCATTAATAACTCAACACTGTGAAATGGTGCGAGAAAACAATAAATGCCACTATGAGCAGCTAATTAAGCTTTATCTATATAATTGCTGCGGTATCGCATCTCAAGACAAGGGCATGATTACCAAAGGCGCCGTTAGTGTAGCTTAGAAGTGTAGCAGCTTCGGCTAGTTTGCATGGCATGACGATAGTTATAGCGCGAGAACAGAACGACGACACAAAACGAGGAACAGAACGACGGCACTGTGTCGTCGTTATGTTCTCGCGCTTAAGTACATGAGCATACTTGCATTGCGTTTTGACTCCACTGAAATGCAGCCGCCACGGCCACGATTCGATCCTTCTCGATCCCAGTCGAGCATCCAGTCGGTCCCATTCGGTCGCAGTCGAGTATCATGATCACTAGAACACCGCGGTGCGTGTAATATCCGCTGAATAAGAAGTAGTTCAGTAAATCACTCCGTCGTTCTATTCATGCCGAAGTTATCTTCTGCTGTCTTTCATGAGAACAAGATAGTGATCCTTTAGCTGCTTTTTTTTTTAATTGACAGGTTACCGTACTAGGATATCGATGCCTTGTGACGCCGCGTGCAACTCCCTTTATAGGCACGTTCGTTTGTTTTTGCTCATAAGCTGTAGTTTCCTAGTGAAAAAAGCGTATAAAGGCTACAACTCATCAAGAATCACACCTCGGCTGAGAAATTCTACCAGCAGATAAGTGGAATGCACAAGGTTTCTGCAGTAACAATCATATACTTGTCTGTTTAATCTTGGTCCCGCCAGATGGCGCCAGCGATATCCTGCCTCTCCTCTTTACGGGTATCCGGTATAACGCTAAAGCAAGGACGTTTGAAAACTAAAATCTTTCCAATTATGCCTCCTACTTCCGTGTGCGTAGTGGACCGTCCGAGTGGGATCCGCGTGGTTTCTTTTTTTTCACTTTGAATCTTGAAGCTCCATCTTCGTGGCGCCGTCGAGGGAACGGCGACGGGATGGGAAGCACGCACGGATGGGCGCCCGTGAAAAACGGCGTCAAAGCACGCCTGCTGTGCACCGCACCGCCTTAGCTTTTTTTTTCTTTCCACTCTTGCTAAAACGGGCCCCCGGTGAGAAGGAGGAAGGCGTCGCCACGACCGGAAGTGTCACCGGAAAAGTTTTCATCCTCCCCGTCTTCTTCCTCTTTTCGAATCCCCCTTCTTCACTCTCGTCCCTGCAGGGCGTATCGCCTTCTTAGAAGACTTTCTTACTTCTCTGAATTTTTTTCTCCCTCTCATTGCGCTCACCACCAGGGAGCGGCGTCTTTCTTAACGTATATTTATTTGTTGATGCTGCCGTACCCACGCCAACTTCTTATTTGACGACTTCTGCATTAACGTTCTCTACCCTACGTAAACAGTCCCCTCCTGCTCTATTAATCCAACAGCAATTATATGGACACTCTCGGCTGGATTTTGCCGCCGGCGTTGGCGTCACTAACCGTATCGCAGTCGGCTGTCCTCGCTATTATGGCCGTGGCGTCATGAAGCTTCGACCAATCACAGCGGTGGTGAGACTCGCGATGGGGGCCGCGGCGTCTGTTGCTTGTTTTCGGCAAAATAAAGTTATTTGCGTTGGTTTCTGCGAATTTTCGATTTCATGACAAATATCACGACACCGTAATCTCGTCTTTTTAAAATGTTTCTGTGTCCCTTCAAGGAGAATTCACTCCCCGCCCCCGATGGTGCGGTGATCAGCAGTATACCCACCCCTACCGGTATTTGTGCATACATACATACATACATACATACATACATACATACATACATACATACATACATACATAAATACATACATACATAATACATACATACATACATACATACATACATACATACATACATACATACATACATACATACATACATACATACATACATACATCTTATAAAGGCTCAGGAGAGAGCGCGTTAGAGAAATGATACCCCGTGCCCTTGACGTTGAAGCGCTGGTGGAGACGCATAGTGTTAAGGCGGTCATCTCGATCTAATTGTGGCTAATTAATTATATGGCAGTTAGCTCGAGAGATATAACGTTCTGCACTGATCTAGTAATAACATGCGGAGGTGACCACATGCAAGACGCGCGTTACATTTGTGGCCTTACAGGGCGTCAGCTATGGTTCTCATATCTTCCCCTGCTCTTCCTCGAGGAGGAGTGGGAGATGATACCGTTCAGCTCTCGCCAGTAATTGGTTAATATGTGGGGTTTAACGTCCTAAAACCATAAATACGATTATGAAAGATGCCGTAGAGGAGAGCTGCGCAAATGTTGGACCACCTGGGGTTCTTTAACGTGCACCCAATACTAGCTCTCGCCAGTACTCTTCGTGGTTTTGTCGTGAAGGAGGTGGGCAATATCATTTCGCTCAAACGAAGATGTTTTTTTTTTTTTTCATATGTCTTGTCGGTGCGTATATTTCGTTTTCTCGGTTAATCACGCTCCTTGACGTACGGGGCCACACTGAAGGTGCCACAGACGCGGATCGCAGAATTGGGTCATTGGTGTCTCCAGTCCGTATTGGTGCGCTAAGGAGGGTGGTTAGCCTAGAAGATTCGCTTGCGACTATAGGCCTGCTCGCATGCATGTTTCCTTGCTCACGACACTCCCTTGCCCCGTGCAGTGGCGGCTGCCTGGTTCGTGTGCGGGCCCAGGTGATGACGCGGGACGACTCGACGGGCGGCTGGGTGCCGCTCGGCGGCGGCGGCCTGAGCAGCGTGTCGGTGCGCAAGCGCTGCGACCTGCAGCCGAACAGTGCCTGCTGCTACCAGATCACCGGCGAGCGCGAGGCCCGCGTGCTCCTCTCGTGCGCCATCGGGCGGGACTTCACGTACAACAAGGTGATGCCCACCTTCCACCACTGGCGCGCCGGCGAGCACAAGTTCGGGCTCACCTTCCAGACGTCGGCGGACGCCAGGGCCTTCGACAAGGCCGTGCGCATCGCCATGGAAGACCTGCTCGACGGTACGCTCCTGCATGCCAATACCGGTGCATATATACACTAGGGGGAACTCTGGCGCTATAGTGTCTATGGGAGCTGCAACGCGCGGCGCTTTAGCGAGCATGGGAATTTGATCGGTAGTGCACATATTTGTCTAATCTTCGCATTTCTGGCCTGCATCTGGCTCCGTGTGTGTTCGTGTGGCCTGGAGCTGTTTTTTCACGAAACAAAAGTCAGCAAATGTTCAGCGGTCGCGCTTTACCACCTTATTCTTTTAGGTTTACCGTTTCAAATCGGGTCACGAAGCTCGAAAGAGGGTTTGTTCTTTCCTACGAAACGAAACTGAAACCTACAAAAAAAAACGTAGCCGCAAATACGATTCGCCGCCCGCAATTACGAACATTAAGCAAATCTAAGTACTACCCATCATTCCCATGGTAGCTGAACGATGGTAGCACCAGAGTCTCCTCTAGTTAACTTTAGGAAACTCTATGTTGCATACTATAGAGCTCTTAGCTACGCGTAGTACTACAGTATTCGTGTATAATGCAAATGAGAGCAAGGGGGTGGAAAGGAGGTGGAGTCGTACCACCTCGTACCTCCTCTGTTTCCTCAGTGTTCACACAACCATAGTGCGTAGCTGTTTCTATTTTTCCTCCTTTTTTTTTTAACATGAGCGCTGCTGTATGCGATTGCTCGTAACAATCCGCGTCATTTCGCTGGAAGTCGGGGGTGCTTTTATGGACATTACGAAACACGACCAAATCGCCAAATTTTACAGTTGGTTAGCCTTGATGGGTCCAGAGGGGTGCTTCACGACACGGCTCAACTAGAGATCAGAACACTATACGACAATATCGCCGCACTTGATGCTGTTGAAACTATAGTACCCCTGGTTGCTCAAGTCCGTATTCACAGAGCGTATTTATACATCTCGCGTTGTCCTTAACAGTATCGCGCCTTTATTGCGTCTGATAAACATTGTATCCCGGTATTCACACACCAGTCTTGTATACTTATCAACAGTGAAGCTCTTTTTTTCGTCGAGTCTTTCACGGGGGGGTGGGGGGTGGGGAGTTCCGTGGTAACGCTTGTGAGCATCGTATAAGCGGGTATGCGCCACAGACATTCGATAAGTCCCATTACCCATAACGGATCCGCAAAAAAATGAAGACAACTCGCGTGTGTGCCTCAGAAAATTGGGTAAATGCCACTCCGCAAGATCGTCCATTTAAAAGCAAGAATGCAACAGTTAGCTCAACAAATGTTTTGCGTGTTACCACAGCGACACCTCTGTGACGCGACACTTTGTGCTTATAAAGGGTGGCGGCTGTACTACTAGCTCAAAGCTCAACAAGGAGCGAGCAGTGGTGCAACATATCGGAGCATCTTATGGGAGGGCTTCTTTGTAAAACTGCGCAGTATGACCTAAATGCAATATAGGTATACTATCACCTGAAAGCTTGGCAAAGAGTGTTAAAAAAAGAGAAGTGATGCAACGTATCTAAAAGATTCGCCAAACGTACAAAAGCGTTAGTCTCACAAAGGGAACTCCACGGGCTTCGCTATTTCATCGGTGGCCGCGCAGCAAAGCTGGCTCAATTTTTCTTGCCATTTTATTGTGTTTTTTTGTTATAACGCACCCAGACTGCACACAAAACTCGTAGCTCTTATTATATGTAAGCTATTGTGGTTCGCTTAAAAGCAGAAGAAAGAAAAGAAAGACCCGATACCAACAATCCCGCATGTTCATTCGCACAATATCCTAAGTTTCTAAATTAACTCGTTATATTACACGGAATTTCTGTACCCTTTGTGAATGGCCAGTCGGGTTTTGATAGCTACGGCGTACAACCCCACCACCTCCACTCTATAGGAGGCGTATTGTCGTACCAAGTCGTCGTTGCTTCGGTAGGGTGCGAAGGAGTATAGAATGTTGCTCTGTATCGGCTATAATACACTAACTCTACAAGTTGCACTCGTGTGATTAACTTGGGAGGGATTTAGTTTATTTCTAGAATCTCGAGGGCGAAAAAAAGAGAAGGACTATTATTCAGTCGTTACTTTTACACCTTACGAAAGGGACTGCACGCGGCACAGGTTAGCATCATCGCTGGAAAAAAAAACTCAAAACGAAAAGAACAACAACGAAAGTGAAAGAAGGCTTGAATGCCACACACGACCTCTATCTACACCCACAGACCGCATGCACCGCTGGCTGGCTGGAAATACGCTGCATTGTCTGCAGCTGTGCGCTTGGAAACGCGCACATTCTTTAAAGCTGCTACAGCGGCTTCACAGGCAAAAGCAAGCAAACAACCTAACCATTCAAAAGCTTGTCCTATCTATTAAACGAGTACATCGCGAGAGAGAAAAAAAAAGATGAAAAGAATACGCCTACGCCGCTGCGAGAGACTCATTGAACAAGTGCGTGGCATCTCGTTTCTCCGATATATGATTGACCTCGCCTAAGTGCAGCGTTTAAATAAGCCAATGTAGGCGATGCAGAGTTTTAGAAAAAATGAAACATAAAAAAAAAGAGGAGTTGCTTCCGTAGAAGTGCGGCAACGTATTGTGTGATTCTAAACGTGTTGCCGTCAAGAAAATGAGCCTCGGTGTGCGCTGAGGTGGCCTGCTTTGTAACTAAAATGTGTCGCAGCGAGAACAACTTACGCGTGACATTACGCATACGCGCTGGCGCGGGCCACTGCGGAACGAGTGCCCTCGACGATGATAACGCGCTTCCCGCAAGCGGGCCCGGCTATAGCGCCATTCGTCAAGTTTTCTTTTCTGTCAGGCCTGTGTAACACAAGCGTGTGTTGCGTTTCGCCTTATTTACTACCACTGTACAACGGAACGTGACCGTGGAGCAAGCCAGAGCCGGCGACATCTTGCGGCGCCCGAGGTTTAACAGAACGCGCTATCGCTGAGAAACACATCGCGAACTTGGACGAACGAAGCGAAAATGGCGTTTTCACGTGGTATAAGCTCGAGGTCTCTGTACCTCTCGCTTGCTACAACTAACTACATCGTTACCTGTTTCGATGAAATAGTTTAGACATCGCACTGGCCGAAGTCCTCGTGGAACTTCAGGGTTGCCTGATTAAAAAAAAAAATGTCAGGGGTAGCCAGAAATAAAGTAGCCAACTTTATGTAGCCCAAGTAGAAATGTAGCCAAAAATATAAAAGGAGACATGATGCAGAGCAGCCTTAATTGCGTTATTCTAGCATGAGGTTGTTAATTTTAAAACCATTAGTGTTGACAGGATGTAAAAATGTTCACCTCCCACCTCCCTTTTACGTGTTTACGATTTCGCTAGTGTGTATATAGTCACAAACAGACAGACACAAGAAAGCGCGCACGAACATATATGAAGGTTTAAACATTCTAATTATCTTCTACTAGGACGATTTCCCACACTTTGGCTTCGCAATATGGTGCCACAAACGAGCCATGTTGTTTCGGAAACGTCTACGTATCCGGGTCTCTTTTCTCGCAAAAAAAAAAGAAACAAAAACGATATAATTTTTTTCTTCAGTAGAAATTTCAGCTGGTTACGGTGCTAAACATTTAAGCCCAAACTCCATAAGCGCGAAAATGCACGCGACAGCGACGAGCGACGCTATGAGCGACGAAACAGGGCGTTCGCGCGACGTGTCGCGTGCTCGTTTTCGCGCGATCGCTCGGTTCTCCAGATTTGGAAACCGTCGCTCATCGCCCGGAAGTGCTGGGCTCAAGCAGCCAATAGCGAAAAAACCGGAAAAGACGAAGACTACATAGGTGCACGTGACCCTGCCCGAGTCACGTATGCGCAACAAGAAATAACGCAATGTTTATTACGCATGCGCATATAAAAAATGCTGCAAGGCAATAATAAACACTTTCCGTTCCATTACACAACAATATATCTTATTTTTAAATTGGAAACCGCTCGCTACGTGGTTTTCTTAATGCGAGTCATGCCAGCAACAGTGGAATTCGCTCGCCGAAGCCGTCGCGTGAATGAGGTTTGCCTGCGCTAGCGACTGATCGCGCGACGCCGATCTACGTCGCGTCGCTCGTCACTGTCGCGTGCATTTTCGCGCTTATGGGGTTTGGGCTTTACACTTCATTGGCTTTACGTCAGGTGATCAGTGGCATAAAACAGTGATAGTGTACACAAAAAGCATGCCGCCGCTAAGACTTGTCGCCGTCAACGTACAGGGCAGCTCGTCCGGCTCTCAGTTCAGATGCCGTCAAGCCTGAGTGCAACACCCTCTGCGCGTTGAAATGAAGAAAGCTACAGCCCTTGAGCGAAATACGCTTCGACGCGTGATCGTAGAGAGGGCCGACGTTCGCTAGCTCGGCGTTGACTGAGAAGGGGGGTTTCCTCACACTTTCCGGGTATGCGGTCACACTACGCACGATGCGGAATGGGACTCGCTTGTTGGGGACGGAACGTGACCTCCCCTTCCCAGCGAGTGCGACGATTGCGTTGACGGTGTTATTCCCCCCCTTGCGAGTGTTCGGGGACAAGCTATCTTCATTGTGTCTCTCTCTCTCCAACCCTTTTCCCACTTCTCTCCCCTCCCATTTTCACTTTACGCACGCTGCTTTTTGGATTGCCGCCGTCCGGCTGCCTCATTCCCACGGTGAGTATTCGTGGCTACTTTCGCAGTCGGCTACGCGCGTACCTCTTCGAGCCATTACGAAGGGAATAAAGTGTCAACGCGTGATGCTCTCTTAGTTCACGCATTCGTTGAGTGGGTGTGAACAGATATTGTGTCGCGCCTTACGTTGAACAGAGTTGTAACAAAATACTCGGTAGATTTGAAGCTTCGTTGTGCAAGCGTCGTCGTAGTAAAAGTCGCGAACGGCGTTGCTTGCAGTGTAGCCGAGACAATAGGCGTGCTCAGAGTATTACATCGAGGGAAAGGAGGGGGGGAGGGGCGGTTATCGCGGCGCGCCCCCTTCCGAAGCCAACGTGTGGGACAGTTTTCGCCAACCCTCTCTTACGTGCGAAGAGATGCCCCCCCCCCCACC